GGGTGAGGGACCCAAGCGAGACAGCGCTGCCAGGAAGGGTTCAAATGGGGCTGGACTGAAATGGGCTCCCCCAGGGGTGGGGAATGCCCCGGGGAGGTTGAGCAGGGCCAGTAAGGGCTGCTGCTGCCCCTCTGGCCCCGAAAGCATCCCTCTACAATAGTGTAGTTATTAACGTATTGTTATTGTCATTAAAAGCTCTATGTTAACTGTAAGGATGTTCTTATTATGTTGCTTTTTGTTACCTACAGTATAATGTTTGAAATGGCACCACAAATCATGCACTGCCTCTTTGCTGAAGACCACATTTACATAGCAGTGCAGAAATAGAAAGTTCAAGTGTTCTGTTAATGAGAAGGTGTATATATAGCCTGCATCGCTTCATATAATATTATATCTGGGTTTTTTTTTTAAGAGATATTTCTGTGTCAATATGTCATGCATCAGATATAAAGGATTATACTTCAGTACAGAATTTAAATCAGAAGAAATTATATTTGAGGTGAAAATTTCTTACTCTGATACATGCGATTCATTAAGGATGGGGGAAAACCACAGAAAGTTGTGTTCCCAAAGTTTTTTGCCTCAGGTATTTGCTTTTAAAAATTTAGCTTAAAAAAACCCCAAAAAACTAAAAAAAAAAAAAAAGACCTTTTCAAGACATGAGATTCAGTATTTTATTTTGCACAGCTGAAAAATGTTCCCTATTACGATAACTGAGTTCAGAAGTCATTTCCAGAAAAAATAAAACGGACATAATCTCAATATCTGAAATTCTTTGTTCTTTTTGGTTTTTCATGTGTTTGCAAAGCAAGCTTTTCCTTGTCCTTTAAATGGCCAATATAGCTGAAGGAAAGCAGCTTTCCACTAAGGAACTGCCTGCCTTCGGTGTGCATGAAGAATACTTAAAAATCATCACAGGAAGAGCATGACTTGTTCCACTTAAAGATTTTTCACTGGCCTGGCAGTATACATGAAACTATTCCTGCAAATGCTTAACAAATACAGGTAATCTCAGAGCAAATTTATATAGCAAGCTACTGCTATGCTTAATTCATCACACATTTTTGCAGCTGAAGTTAGAATTATAAGGAGTGGGAAAGAAGCCATGGTTGTATGTATGCTATGCAAAATGAAGAAACATGAGAGCAAGCTCTGAATTTCCATGAGAGAAAGGGGGAGGAAAAAGGTCGACTCTCCAGCTATAATTTTTTTGCATGTGCTTTTTATGGAGGAGTATTTCATAATATATATATCTCAGATAGTAGTACTGGATTTTAGGGACTACTTTACTCCAAGACCCAATAATACTGGTAATTCAAAAGTGGCCTAAGTTTCCTGTACCTCAGGAAACTTCCTGTTCAAGTGTCCTGTACCGCAAGTTCAGGTGGCAAGGACAGCTTCTGGACTCATGAGACTGGGGGTCCAAATATGGCATGGCATTTTCCGTGGGTAGAAACCTTGGGATGGCCAAGAGAGACCTGCCTTTTTATTTCTTCTTCTCATGCTTTAAAATTAAATCAGTGTCAAGAAATTATATTAGGTGATGTAGGTGATGAATAACTACTTCAAGGATGTTCCTTGGAGTTGCTCATGATAACCTTTACACTGCATGTATATGATTATATTCGAAATATGGAGCATACCTGTTCCTGATATTCATAACACTGAGCTACAGAAATACACAGAACTCATTTTACAGTGCTACATTACTTTATTAGATGTAAGGGAAAATGTTCTTTAGGTTCACCTCTAAATGGAAGATCTGATATAAAGCTGTATAATTTCAGCAACGGAAGTAATATATCTTTGCCCCTTTTTTCACGCGTGGTGTTTTTGTTTGGTTTTTCGTTTGGTTTTGTTTGTTTGTTTTTTGGGTTTTTTTTATTTCTGTTTTTGTTTTTTTTTTGTCAGGTATTACCTAAAGTTAGTACCTTTTTCGTTTTTTTTTTGTTTCTGTTTTTGTTTTTTTTTGTCAGGTATTACCTAAAGCCTTTTTCATTAAGTAAATATACGAAAATTATTTACTAATATACCAACCTGGGTTTTTTCTATACTTTATCAGCTGTCGGGTGACATCAGCTTAGAAAATTGCATCCAGAAAGTAACTATTCCTGTTGCTAGGCTTGTCTGACTTCAGAACAAGTCTTTTTCCAAATACTTCTACAGTATTTGGAGAGCTTAATCATCCATTATTTTTTTTTCCTATTCTTTGTGTTTATATATGCATCAAAACATTTTTTTTAATTTCCAGTTTCCAGGAAAGAAGTGTGATGGCATACTTCTATCTCCGTTCTGACATTTGAATCCAAAGTATTTTGTGAATTATCGAGTCTATTAAATTGCAAGCTGAAGTTCACATCAAAAGAGTAGCAGATCTGGTGATCCAGAGAGAAAATTATCCAACACCTTTATGCTGTAGATATATCTGCATTCATGTGACTGTCACTCATCTCACTTATACTCATCTCGCAGATCTGTAATTCCACCAATTTCAGCTAAGTCATCTCTGAGTTGCCAGCTCCCCTGAGCAGACTGCCTTTGAGTACCTTGAACTTGAGTCTTTAGGCGCTTCCTGTAGAAAACAGAAGTGCAGGTAAACAGAGTGCCGGACTGCTTAAATTGATAGGAGTTTTGCTACTCGATTTTCTTTGGTCCAGATTTTAAGCTTGCAGCTCTATATTTCACAATCAGGAACTAATGAATATAGATTTAAGTTCTTAACTTCTTCATCCCTCTTTTTATCTTTGAAATAAGACAAGAAAAGGTGAAAAAAAAAAAAGAAGGCTTGGCTCCCCTAATCTTTCATTATCCTGTATTTGGGATTTGATACCCAAGGTCTTCATTTATAATTAGAGCCAGAGCACATGCAAACTGAGAGGCAGATTTTAGTCTAAGAATCTTGTTAAGTATTTTCCTAAGGTGAAAGGAAAGAAACCTTCGGATAAGACTATGAACGGTGTTGGAAGTGTAAATTACCAAAACCTTAGCTGAGAAGGCAAAAATAGGTATGGCAGTACCCTCGCTTTCTAAGGGTGGGATTATTCTAAGTGAGAAGACCCTTCTCCAAATACTGACTAACCAAAACTGAAAAGGGATCCTTAAAATATATTTTGACCATGCAGCTGTCTGTCAGGACAACCTCCTTTCCCAGAGCAGCAGTTGTCGGGACTAATGATCTTCAAAGGACCATAAGGAAAGTGGAAATCAAATCAAGTGTTGAGAAAAAGGTCCTTAGCAGCTGCTTTTGTTGCCAGAAGCTCCCTTGATTGCATCACATGTTTAGCTCAAACCAGTCACATTGAACACGGTGTCTCACTGATAATTACAGCTTTTTATCTAGAAAGATGGACAAGCCAAACAGTGACTTGCATCTGCCAGATTCCGTGATGCAGAGCTAATTGGCAGGATGTTAGAGAGGTCATAGTATGGTCCAGTGAGAGATGAAACACACCTGAATTCTTAGAAATTAACTCAGAATAATTTCAGACTTCCCAGGGAACTGAGTATCATTTAAAGTTAATAATCATGGTGAAAACAACTGGGGAGAGTGTTTCTGGCAGAGGAAAGCCCTGGATTCAAATGAAGGGATTGTAATTCATAGAAAATTTAAGTGCAAACCTGCACTTTACCTGCATCATGCAGGTAAAAATAAATCTTTATATATGGCTTCTGAACTCCTTTTCTTCTCTTCTTAAAAAGCTTTAAGCAGGAAGAACCAATATATTAAGTGACACATACACACACACAAAGTCTATCTAACCTAATATGCTCAATCCAGGAATGACCAATAATGGATGCCCAGGGAAGAATCTAAGAATAAAATGCATATATAATAATTTTCAGAAATATTTTCCTAGCCCCTTAGGTATTCCTACCTTAGGCACTTCCCCAGCTCTTTCTGTCAGGTGTCTTACTGGTGTTGCATAAACTTACTGAAGCAAAGGAAGTGCTAGAGAATTGCCAGAAGAATTAATGTACCCGTGGTCTCAGTGCAAGCCTAAGGGCAAGAGAGGGAGGAAAGAACCTCCCTGAAGCAGCCACCATCCCAATATTCCCTCCTCTCATGCACCCACCCCTCTCCAATGACAGCATGATCAGTAAGCTCTTTTTTTTCTAGGCTGGGTTTCCCTTGTCTCTCTGTTGAAGCTCTTCCCCTTTCCTGTGCATCTGCCCTTCCCCTGGAGGAGTGGATCTGGCTCCTCGTTCTTCAAGAAGCAAAATTCAATTCTGTCATCATTTCTGAGATTCCTTAAGCTGGCTTTGGACACAGATATGCCTACACATACATATATGTAAACATTCCTCAAAAGCTTGAACCTAGTAGGATGTTGATAGCAACGTGGTCATGCTGCAAACTGGCTTTAAAAATCATAAGGCTGTGCTCAAATCATAACAGTGTTTGTCTTCATGCTCCGTCAGCTTGATCGCTATTAGTACCTGTCAGGGTACTATTGGCAGTGAGTCAGGGTTGTCTGCTATATGACCTCACCTTCCAGTGCTCTCTTTCTTTGCTTTTTGAGAATAATAGTAGCTTTTACCTTCAAAGAAATGCATGACTATGTTTGTTAGCTTTTAGTAAGTGCAGTCCAAATATTATAGGTTGTACAGATTAATAGAATAACGTGGTATGATGGTGATTAGGCAGTTAGAAAAGTATATGTTAGCAGCATATGGAAAAAGCTAATGAAATAGGTTTGCTTTAAGGCTTTTTGAATTTGTAACTTTGTAATGTGCTCAGGAAATAAAGCCCGTTTTATATAAATTAAGTTCAACTCTGACTACTAAAGCAGGGATTCTATGCACAAAGGTTTTAAGCTTAAAATATTATTCTTGTTATTCTTTTCTACAAAAATTTGACTTGTGAAACCCTATGAAATAATTAAAAAGGCTATTGTATTTGACACAACTCCCCTCTCAGCATGCATGTTTATATTTAGTTCTAACTTAATTCGACCTCAATTTTTTGTTCTCTCATTTATTGTCTTATACATGTTTCCCAGGATAGCCCACTGGTCTTACAGTCTGACAGAAATGTAACAGTGAATGCAAGAAATCACATGGGACAGTTAACTGGACAACTGACAGTAGGTGAGTGTTCTTTATTGACTGTTATGTATATCAGTTTAGCTTTATGAATAGGTTTCATTGATGAATATCGAAGATAAAATATTGCAGAATAGTCAGAAAAAAAAAATCATCTCATTGCCATACGCAAAAAACAGCATACAATGGATCATAAGAGCATGATTCAGCAATAACTGAAGGGAAAGGAAGTAGAAATGCCTCAAAATAGTTAAAACAGCTTAACGAAAAATGATTATTTTTGAGACAGCGTAACAAAATAAACTAAAAAATCCTCAGCAAAACATGTTTCAACAACAATTTCAGTGGGAAAATAATCATAATTTTCTTACAATTTCTGTCAGTCTTCCATTACTTCAGTGCGAATTGGTTTATCCCCATTACGCTTGCGGTGTATTTGTATCAGAATGTATATTGAAAACAGTTGGAGAAACAGAATGTAAAAAAACAGAATGAAACAAAACTCCAAATGCTTTCCTAGTCACTACAAAATTTAAACAGAAAGTGATCATACTGACAGTCATTCATTAAAACGGTGTATGACATTTTGCAAAGTATAAAATATAGGAGAGCAAAGTTCCAAATGAAATGGAAATAAAAAATCCTCTACTTATGTGTTCCACTTTTCATGTATTTTCCCCTGCTTTTATTATGTTTACCATGTTACCAATTTTGACACCAATCATACTTACTTGTTAGCAAATATGAAGTAATTTTTTTAAAAATTTTCAGTACTAGAGCAATAATGAAGATATTAATTGCTTTTTAAGAATATTACCCACAAAAATCAGTACAATGTTCTAGATCTGTTAGAAAACTATATATATTGACTGGGAATGGGATGAAAAATATGCAAATGTGTATCTGTAAGATACTAATATATATATAAATTTGAGGGGACACCCCTTAGGCCCCACATCTTTTCGTAGTTTTCACTTTACTTCTGGATTAAGCTGTTTTATCCACTCTTTTTCCTCATGTGCTGAGGATATGCTCACAAATAGTTTAAAGTTAAACTCTAGTTTATTTTTGACTACACTGAGCTTTCCTACTGGCTGGAGACAGCGGCTTCAAGTTGTAAAAAATCTTTGGCAAGTGCAGACAGAGTGACACACCACCTGCACTGATTTCCCTGAATGACCATATCAAATGAGTGTGCAAAGGTAACCAGACTTGCTAGCAGATACAGATGAGGAAAATTAAGCTAACACCTGTTCTAGCCATATTGTACTTGCCCAGCGTGTTTATGGAACGCGGTTCTGCTTCATCTAGTAGCTGTGTTATCCAAACCTTCCACTTCAGCTGATAATTGCTAAAAGGTGAGTTGCCCATGGCAAACGTTCACATTGGCTGAAACAGATATGATATTCTGATTGCTGATGCTATTCCTGCACAGTGAATCCAGCACTGAAAATGTATGTGGGTGTCTCAAGACTGACCTACTTAAAGGCAGCACACCAGAGGTTAATATTCTTAAAACATATAGGCCCGAAGAAAACATGTGTTCTTATGTTATCATCATTAGAGTGAACACCTGTAAGCTTCTTGGGGTGCAGCTGGTGCAGTGTCTGGAGAGTGGAAGTTTGCTAAATTCCAATATTACTTCTCACTTTTTCTCTTCCTCTTTTTCATAATGGCTATATGGCCTTTATTCTTTCCTATATTCATATAAAAATCTGCTTCTTTATTTTTTAGAAATTTCTCATACAGTGTTGAATACATATTAATGCATTCCTTATTTTCTTATTTATTATTTAATATTTCTTACTTAGTGTAGGTACTCATAACTACCAGTAGAATCAGTAAAAGCCTGAACATTCTATTGTTGGAAATCAAAGAAATTAACAGGCACCTAAGACTCAAAATGTATTATTCCTGCCCTCCTTTCCAAAAATTTTTGTTGTGTAAGGTAGAGCAGATAAAGACAGATTCTTGATTTTCATGTAGGTAAAAGCATGGAAACATCTGCTGAGAGAAGGGAGGGGGACTTTCCTATAGCAGGTTTGCTGACATCAGAAAATGGTTTTTTTTCCCCTTTTAGCTATAAATATGCTCTGGAAAGTCCCTGTCTTCTTCAAAAATATTCTTTGGTCCTTCCCTGGTGCTGCATGCTGAAGCAGCTGTATGTGTGGCTGCCCAGTGAAAGGGATGAAAATAAACAGCGGAGGAAGCGTTGAGGAGGAATACTTTTAAGCTACAGAAAAAGTAAATTATTATGTCATGGGGAAAAAAATTGTCTAATTAACAACTTTGAAATGTTCCTATCCGTCAACTTTTTTTTAAAAATTTAATAATAATAATAACAATAAGAAGAAAAGACCACACATTTATGTGCATGGCAGGAGCATTGTGAAAAGAAAGGATGCCCATGCATTCAGGTGGATGATACTGTTCTTCCTACACTTGTGCTATTATTGGCATTTTATCTGTATTTCACAGGACAGAAGTGATGTTACAAGGCAATAAATGGGCTGGTCTCACGCCTTTGAGGTTCAAATTGCCGTCATTGGTAATGTCTGATTTTAGGACAACTAACATTTTTTTCAGTGGTATTTGGAATTGTGACGTGCAAGACTAAGACAGCCTTAAGGGCATCTAATTAAAACTGATAACGGAAGATAGATTAGTGTAAAGAAGTAGGGGTGGGGCTGGGGGGAAGAAGACTATATGGTCACCCAGGGAGAGGGAAAAACTCCAGTGAAACTCTTAGTTCTGCGAGTGACTAAGGAAGACAAAATATTTCTATGAAGAGCATCATTAAGACATCTTGGACCGTATCCTAATTCAGAAGGAGTGAAGGAAAAGTATATTAAAAAAAAGCTATCTAAGAATACTGGATGATTCAGTGTCATGTGACATGTTTAAATAGTGTACAGCCAAGTCATGGCTCCAGGTCTTACAACACCAAGGGTGCATCCATTATTAGAGTACAATGTATTTATACTGACACTGAAAACTGGAAGGAGAGAAAGTTGTAGGTGTAGCAGTGCTTTCTGTTGGGATCTATACCAACTGAGCTAGAAATATTGTTTTGTGCTTCGGTCTATTTGTGACATATAGTCAGGAAACTGCAAAGTTTGCATCTGGATCTCCAAAAGGAATCCACAGCCTTCAGTTTTTAGACGTGCCATTGAAGACTGACAGAGCAGATGTAGCACAGACATAAATGATATCTACAGAATAAAGATGTAAAGATGATCATTCAATGATTTTTGTATCTAAGCTAGATAAGGAAAAGTAATCACCTCTTTCCCCTCCCAACCCTTACTTGGCAGTAGCCTTTGGATTATGCATTCTGCTGAATTATCTTCACACAACCTTTTCACTCTGTTTAGTCAGTCTGCATAGTTTAAAGCTATATGTAAAAAGATCTACTGATTTTCGGACAATCCTAGAAATGCATGACAGTTGCTCACCTCAAGCCAGAAGCCTGTTGTATCCCTGCTCTCTGCACAGGTCATACACAGCTCTGCCTGGTTTTGTGGAGGACATTAGGCTGACAAGTGCTGAAGGGATCAAACGTAAATATGGCTGAAATGAGACATTTGAACCTCACGTGTACTTACCGTAACACCATCTTCAGATCTGATTATTACTTTGCCAACTTTCCAACTTTCTCATTTTTTCATGAGGTTTTTTGTGGGTTTTTTTTTGTTTGGTTGGTTTGTTTTGTTGTTGTTTTTTTTTTTTTCCCCATTGCTGCAATAATTGCTTCTGACAGGTACTTCTGCTATTGCTTGAGCCTTTTCCATTCATAAAGATCCCTGGGGATATCTGAAACCTTTTCAGACTTCATTTTTGCTAAGCTTTGAGCTATTTGAGACACAGAATGATAACTCTCATAGAGGTCCAGAGCTGTACAAGTCACAGCTTTAAAGAGCTCCCAAACCAAACTACTAATTGAGATCTCTACAGCCATGCAAATTGAGAAAAATGATTTGAATGCCAATGAAATTTACATCACACTTTTGCAAATACTTTTTGAAGATAGCAGGCAGGTGTATACTTTTCAATTACAGCACTGGTCAAGGCTGATAACAGTACTAAAAGATATAGCTATTCAAATAACTTGTCAAACTTGGTGACGCTTTCCACCCATTTACCATAAAATTTTGTTTTGTATTCAGGTTATTTTTTTTTCTTAAAAACGCGCTTGCTTTCTTGCTGTTTTCCACCAAGAGTACATGGAGTATTTTGCAGAAATTATTGGACATTAGAAACTACAGGTATGAAAAACCATGTGGGAGTGGAAATAGTCCCCTTCGTCATTCTTTACTGCATCATATATGCCAATCTCCTGTGCCGATGGCTACTGATACCTTACCAGGTAACACATCCTGCTGCTGCTTCATTTCCGAGGTCATCAAAGTAACTCATTACCTAAATGTTGCTTGTGATGTTCCCATTACGAATACCTCAATCCATTTTATCATAGTTTGGTCTAGACATCAAAGAAGATCTGAAGCAAGAGACAACATTTCAAGCATTCTTGCTTTTAGAATGACTTGTGGTAGAACTTGTAATAATATGTGGGCACATGTGGCTCTAAATCTTTGATATCTATTGCCAGACATTTGCTTATTTAAGATTATTATGAACTTGAACTCAGTGTCTATTGAGGCAATGGAAGTAAAAACATGCTTAAGCAACAACGGACTAGAAATGCTTCTGTAATTTTTAATCTTGTTTGCATACATAGGAGACTCAAATGTTCGGTCTTTTCTCCTAAGTGTTGCAGGAAAAGGGCGGTTTCCAAGTGGTCATACACAGATACCCGTTCCTGACAATAGGAAAAGGGAACAAAAGGGCTCAACTCCTCTGTCTCTTATCTGTGTGATTGTTCTTGTCGATGGTAGGGTGCTGGTGAGAGAGGGAATGATGTTGTTTTACAGGACTTTTTACTAGGGCATGTAGTGATAGGATGAGGGGGAATGGCTTTAAACTGGAAGAGGGCAGGTTTAGATTAAACATTAGGAAGGAGTTTTTCACTTTGAGGGTGGTGAGGA